CTCTCATACCTATATTGATTTTTAATGTCGGTGTTAGATTTTCATTTGTTGCACTTCTTATTGCTAATTTACTGTACACCAATCCATTGAATCTCTCACATTATTGAGCGTATATTTATTTTATTGAGTCAAAACATAAATTTTATTTTACTGAGTCAAACATAAATTTTCATTGGTTGCCGAACGTTGGGCCCACCGAGTTGCGAACCTCAATTAATTTGCCAAAAATCCTATCCTTGCTACTCGTTAGGGAGACCATCCAGATTATTATTAGGAAAAAATAACAAAAAGATTCTTGCACAATTGCTTTTGTTCGCTTTCTAGAATGTCACATTGAAGGGTGAATCATTCTATACGACATAGTGACGTTGTCATTAGCTTATTGTTATTTCAAAGTCGCAGATATATCCAAGTGGCGTTTATTTATTATAGTATTAACTGCACAATAAATGACTAATATAAAAATGTTTTATGATTTATTCTTTAGTTTCTAACTGTTATAAGAATTGGAAGAGAATTGTAAAAAATGTAAGAGATTGAGAAAATAATTAATCTAAAAAAATTTTTATAAACTTTTTAAATATATGCATTAATTGCTTGCACACATAATTTCAAATCAGATCAAATCAGATATGATTAAAAAGATTCTTTCATTGGATAATTCTATTAACATATGCATTAATTTCGTTGATATCTATTTTAATATACTACAAATTTAATTCTACATGATTCATATTGATTATTTCTTTGGTCAAGATAAAGTGATGAACATGAAAACATATTTTAAATTCTAACCATATTTTTTTTCCACAAATCTTGACTTTTCATCCTAAAATATTTATGCTAAATCATAAGAGGTTAAGTAATTTTTTTCTCAACTTTATTTCATTACATATATGAAAATAAAAAAAAAATTATTTTTTAAATTGATATAACTTACCATTTACGAGATAATGACGAGATAAATTAAATTATTTTACTAATGGCCAGCTAATAAAAGTGAAATATATTAGCTATTCTTTAGAAATTCACTATGTGACTTATTTGCATATTATTGCTAACCATGATTATTTTTTATCATTTTTTTTTATTTCTTTCCATAATAATTTTTTTAAATATATTTCCATTTCATAGTATGGAAAATAAACTTTAAAGCCAACTAAATAAACCTCTTGATTATAAAATGGATATAGTTTTTAGAAATTTCTAAATCAAGTATTTTTAATTGTTATAAAAATTTAAATTTAAAAAGATATGTGTGCATATTTTATAAAATGTTTTATAATATTTTATTATAAATTTATTTACATAACTTAAATAAATTACATTAATAAATAATTTTAACGTACATTAAATATTTTAATTACATGAAATAAAAAAGAAAAATAAGACTACTTCTATAACTTTTATAAATAATAATAATGGCATTATATGACAACAAATTTTATATTAAAAAATAATAGTTGAGTGTTATACGAGAAATAAGAATAAGTAAAATTATTATTTTTTCTTATATTAAGGAAAATTTTATAATAAAATAATAATTGAGTGTTATAGGAGGAATAAGAAGAAGTAAAATTATTATTATTTCTTATATTAAGGAATAAATATATATACTAAAATAAAATTTATATTAGTATAAACAAGTTAGCGAGATAATATATTAATATGAACCATCGGTAATTAACAAGCTCAGATTTAACATCTCGACTAAAAAACAATAAAAAAGGTGGGATATAGATGATTTAACTCTATTATTTTTTAGGACATAAACAAACAAACTCTATGAAAATAACTCATTTAATATCTTAACTCGTGAGCGCAAATCAGCATCTCACTTTTAGGTAGAAAGAAACATAAAAAGGAAAGAGGAGGTATCATTTTCACAAAGAATGCCTTTCGAATTATGAGTAGCGCCAAGTTAAATGAATCTGTCCCCATCTACCCAACTGCAATAACAATGATTATTATTTTTGGTTCCCATCCATGAAATTATTCATTTGATTTTGTCTATAAAGATGTTGTGTTTATGATTTGAAAAGGATTTATGAGCTGAGTATCTTACTCTGAGGAAGAGTAACTTAAAATTTAAGCTGCTCACATATTTTTTCAATTATTTGTTGACTCGTCATTAGCTCGTTGAAATGCGTAATTATACTGTACGTGATATGATCAAAACGACATATATAATTTAAGTGGAGGCAAGTAAACTTGTAATCGTAATCATTTATCGCTTATTATGCAATTGAAAGAATATAATGAAATTTATTGATTGAAAAAGACGTGTTTCAT